ATTATCATAATAACATGGGAAAGCACATTGAACATATAACACATAACATAAAATTGTCACTATATTGAACTCACCGTGAAATAACCGAGGATTAAATGATAATTTGGGCAGCACTACGGTTCTAAATATGACTTTTTGTGACGAAACCGGGAATTTTAGATGAAATCCGGCCTTACACGGGCAGAGTTTCGGCTTGTAAATATAATTTTATCGGGAACTTCAGAGCGTCGGGACTTGCTTCGGGTGTCGGGAATGATACCGGGACTTCGGGAGGTATTAGGGTAAATTTAGAGAGAGTAGAGGGTGAAAGAAGTAAGGAAATGTAACATAAATCCGGAGACCCTCGGTCTCTATTTATAAGGTGCGAAGCTGCTGACTACGCTGGGCGTAGTCCTCGGTACGCTGGGCGTACTGCGAGGCGGCCATCTACGCGGGGCGTAGCCTTCGTATGCGGGGCGTACATGCGAGGCGTGTCCTCTGATCGGAACCTGGGTCTCGGACGTAGCAATCTTATCTGATACGTGGCATCCGAGCGAAGACCGGCGACTTGGCTGATCCGAGGCCCTGCAAGTGCGAAGTACGCTGGGCGTACGAAACTAAGTACGCTGGGCGTACCCTTCGGATAAGGCTTCGAATTTTCATTTATTTTTATTAAAAACTTCGAAAATTCATATCTTTTGCGTACGAGCTCCGTTTTTGACGTTCTTTATATCCACACGTAGGTAAGACTATGCTCTACAATTTTCGTTTAGACTCCGTCTGCTAATTTTGACTTCATTTTTAATATTATATTTTTAACGGGCCGGGCAGGAAAAGTCTGTTAAAAATTCATAACTTCTTCATCTGAAGTCCGTTTTCTTCTGTCTTTTTACCGTTGAACTACAATCGATGAGATATTCGATTCTCATTTAGGTTGTGTCAGCTAAAAATCACTCGATCTTTATTTCGAGTTTTTTAGTTGTCTACTGCTATTCCAAAACTTAGAAAAATCATAACTTGCTCATACGAAGTCAGATTTTGACGCTTTTTCTATGAAAATTCTCGGTTTAATGAATACTACGACTTTCGTTTAGATTACTAAAGCTAAAAAGTAGTTTATCGAAAACTCACTTTTTACGTCATTCGGCGCCGTGCCGGTTTTGTCGCGGATCTTCGATTGGCCATAACTTCTTCGTTATAACTCAGATTTCGATGAGGTTTTCGCCTAAATATTTCTAACGATATTATTTACAACTTTCATTAACATAATTTTACTTATTTTCAAATTTTATATTTTCGTTAAATTTCAATATTTGATTTTTGATTGGAATCTCATAAGACTTCCAATATTTTCCGAGCGATTCTAAACATAGTTTTACTTCAATTCAAGTAAAAACAATCTGTTAGAACTCAATACTCAATATCACATAATATTATTCATTACAAAACACGATTTCAAAACGTGTATGTTACATATAGGTTCAATAAAGAAAATATAAATCTTGTTTTAGGTTGCATGCACACTTAAGAGTTTTAAGTTTGTTTTGTTATGCCTAAAAATCATCAATTATGTCATTTCCCAAATATCTATACATGAAGCCAAAAGTAATAAATAATAATAATTTTTTAAATTTATGATTATAATATTTAATATTCAATTATAAGAGTTTCATTCAAGTTTGGATAAATTTTCAAACCTTTATATTTTCCAATAGGGACAATCTTATGTGGGTTTATCCACAATGTAATATTACTTAAAAGTGTGTGATTCACATCACCTTCACTACATTTTTACTATACCTTTCCTCTACATCATCTATATATTTCCTCTACATCATCTATATATGTTTATTTTTTTTATTTTTTTTATTACATAACTTTAATAAAAATACAACCTTTTCTAAAACAAAATAAAACTTTCATTAAACCAAATAAAAATTACATTACTAAAATGGAAGTTTGGTATTCACCATTTCCCATTTGTGAGTGGAAGTTTGCTAGAACACGGTTCTAAAATATAATCATGGTTTAGGCATTGCCCATCATCTCATCTAAAGACATTGAATAATTGAAATACAAGCTTTTGCAAGTGTCGCTTCATCATCTTCGTCCCAATATTTGTGAGGGTATTTCCCCCTTTTCTTTGGTTTTCCATTCTTGATGATTTTGGTTGAGTTTACGGCACCTTTTCGAAATCATCATTGTGGGGAGATTGGAGGTGGAAAGGTAGTTGTTGGGAAGGTTGGGTTTGAAGTTGTTGGAATTGGTTTGGTGTTTGGTAAGGGCTCTGTTGTTGGAAGTAGTTTTGTTGGAATGGTTGTTGGAAAAGGAGTGGTTGTGGAATATGTGAGTTGTTGGAAGTAGCATGTTCATGAATCCTCCGACTGGTGATTCTAAATTTGGGTATTGGCCAGATGTTGTGTTGAGTGTATATGGACCGGTGGGCGTGTTTGAATTTTGACCCATTTTTTGATGTTTGGTGAATGAGAAATAATGCTTTTTAAAAGGGAGAAAGGATTGATGATTATAGTGTGTTGTAGTGTATGAAAAAGTATGGTATTTATAAGTAAATATTAGATAGTTCCATAAATATAATACCTTAATATAGAAAATACAAGTAAATGCTAATGTCCTATAAATCAAACTTTGTCATTATAATAAATAAAAAAAGTTCCATCAAACTTTGTGTTTACAACAAAACAATTATGCCAACACAATCTTCCTCCCAAAGTTGTCTACCAATTAGCTTTCCTTCTTTACCAAAGAGATATTATTATATTAACACGTATGAATATGAATGCACTACAAGTTCAAATAATAACACAAAACCAAAATTCAAAATGATTGAAAAAGGTTATATATATATATATATATATATATATATATATATATATATATATATATATATATTCCATTAAACTTTATAAGATATACAGAGATAAACAAAAACAAACATAAGAAAATGATTATAAGGAGAGTATAACGATGATAATCGTACAACTTGTAAGCATGTAAATCCAAGATCGATCCGCCATCTTACTACTACTCTCTTCTGACCTATTTTTACTATAAAAAGCAAACAAAATTTTATCCAGAAATAATCTGGAAATTGCTAATATTCCAAATGTTAAGGCAACAAGAAATATAACAATCCCTTTATTCTCCATATGTACTTGATTCTCCCTCACCTTTGCCACCTCAGCCCTACATCCAAAATCACACACACACACACATACTCATTAGATTCATTTTTACACAGTACATGACATGACATAACGGTACAGTATAATTTGTATTGGACTGAGACCAGACTGATGTCAATGGGACAAAAACTGTAATTTTTTATTGCAGATAAAAAGATGGGATAAGGTGGGACGTGGACAAGCTATTGATATTTTGTCTGTGTAAAAAGACGTAAATGCCCTTCTCATCAAGAAAAAAAATTTAACCTGAGGAAAGCATTGGTCTTTGTGATGTCATCCAGTTGAAGAGATACGAGTGTTTTCCATGAAACTAAATCATCAACCTGTTTACTCTGCAGTAAATAGTAAAAAGGGTTAAAGTTAAACACAAGAAATAGCAATCAACTTTCATTTATTTCTATACAAAGCAATTTTTACAATACGTAAGGGTAAAATGGTCATTTTTATAATTATTCAAGAAGTTAGTTCGTTATTTTATAAACAGAAACATTGAATACAACAAAAAATGATACAGAAGGGTAAAATGGTCATTTTAACAGCATGTTAAAAATTCAGATCCTGCCAAACAGCCCCTAAGAGAACGTGTAAAATTGTAGTTTTAGCTTTGATTATTTGTCAAGAAATAAATAAAATGGTTGACATCGACAATAAGAAAAATGACTAAAATACCCTTTGCATAAAAATAGTACTTACCAAGGCCTCCTTGCTCTCATGAAAACTCTTCAAATCTGTTCTTATTCCCTCCATAATCACATCTCTCTCTCCAATTTCCTCATCAATTTCTTTAAAAATATGTCCATATTTATTGTTCAATTCATCAAGATATCTCTCCAAAACCGATAAATTTATGTCCAAAAGCCGAACTTTTTGCATCAAAATCTTGATCACACTATCCCCGGGCAGCCTGCCCGCTTGTTGTTGCCTTACTTCCGCAAGAGGGTCAGGCACATCAACTGTCTTAACTGCCCGAATTCCATTTTTACCCTCCTCTAAAAACTCCTCATCTTCCATTCTATTTCCATCAAACAAATCATTATCCTTATCATTATCTTTATCCTCCCTTTTTAAATCACTTTCAACTTCTTTATTCACAAACTTTTTATTATCTTGAACATTAACCAAATCCTCAAGCATCATTTCAACAGCATCAACTCCATAAACTTGAACAAAACTCAAAGTACAATAAAACCCAGTTCCATAATGACTTAAAAGATTCAACTTTATATATCTAACCCATTTTGGCTCTTTAAGAAAGAATCTTTGTTCATGTTTCACATTTCCAGCTGTGAAATTTCCAAGCTTTACCCATGTTTCAGTAGGGTAAACCAAACTCCCAAGAATCTCAAACTCTTTAAGATTCGATGAATGGTGTTCAAAATTAGCAATCTTGATTGTGTCAACTAGGGTTTCTTCAGAAAGTTCAAGAACTACAAATTTCTCTTCACTTGAACATGGGTTTCTAAGGTACTTATCTTTATCTATTGTTAAAATTCCAGATGCCCCTTTTGCTTCTTTATTACTTGATAAAACTTTTGCACCTTTTGAAGCAGATGCGTAGTTGTAATCTGCTCCACCTGGTTCTAATCTGTGGATTATGCTTACTGAATTTCCATTTGAAGGGCGAGTTTTTGTGTTGAAAGCTTTGTTCTTGAATTCATCGAGTCCTAAAGGGACTGATCTTGTTTTTTCAGGTTTAGAAGGGTTTTTTGGTAAAGGGTTTGATTCTTTTTGGTCAAATTCAGGATCTTGACTTATAATTTCTTCCTTTTGATCACTTTCAATTAGGGTTTCTGAATCTAGACCTGTGGATTGACATTCGTTTGATGATAATGAACAATAAGATGTGTTATTGGACTCTTGATTGAATTCATCCCATGTTGTTAAATCATTTGGAAGATCTTCAGGATTATCTGTAAAATAAGATAAACAACATAATGTCATAAATTTGTTTACACCTTTTAAATGAAAAAAAAAAAAAAAAAACTAGTTATGAATTATGATTGTGATATTGCTATAATTGTTTCAAAGTATAATGCTGTAACATGAAAAAAGAGAGTATGATGCTATAATGAATGAATCAATGTAAAACATAATGTAGTTTCTTGTATTGACGGATTTACCCCTACAAAAACATGGTTTGTGGAAATATGATTGTGACTGACCTCTATAACCATCACCATGGCCGATCCATAAATTTAACAGGAACAAAAGCCCCCAAAGAAAGACAGCAAGAGACAATGAAACCTTATAAAAGTTATTTTTCCCAAAAGTAGATTTTCCCAAAGCTCTTCTTGAAAGAAGAGCTTTACGTGACCTCTGCATTGTACATCAATCTGATTCACTATTTACAACTCAAGAACAAGAAACCTGCAATCAAATAAAGAGACTTTTGTTAATAAATAATCACCTAAAGTGAACAATGGGTGTATGACTATGAACTATGAGCAAAGACAAATCAAAAGCAACAACTTTGAAATATAATTTATATATGTTTACAATTTGGTTGCAAGTAATTCTCGAATGGATACCAAAAATCAATAGATGAAGACAGGCACAAAGAATCGCGTTGGCATATGAACAAACACTTTGCGTGCAAGAAACAACTGGCTCAGGAAAGATGATGGAGGGGTGTCCCAATCAATAACATTCTTCTTTCTTTTGTGATTATAAGTTTGGGCGAGAGAGATCGAATACGCATATATGAAATTGAATTCAAATTACAAAGATCATAAACCCAAATCTTTGAATTTGAAAATCGAAACGTAGAAAACAGAGCAAAAGTCAATAATTGAACCTGGGTACAGGGATCTAAAAAGTATATTATAACATAAAAAGAAGCGGACATCATTAAGCACATGGGACAGCCGGCAGTCACGAAGATCTTAATTCTTAAATTAAATTAAAGAGAGACACAGAAATTTAACAATTGACAGCACCTGGTAAGTAAATCTCTGTTCTTGAAATTGGGAACTTCTTCGAAACGATCAACGAAAAGTTGAAGACGATGAAATTCTTGAGATCATCAAATCAAACTGATAAAAAAACCTAAAGTTCAGCCGATCTTCCTCCTGACTTGATTCTTTAATATTCAATTCACCACATCAAATCAGAATTTCGATATAAATTATTAAAACTTCGTCGGATTTGCAGTCTTCCAATGGCAACCGTGTGTTCTTCCCTATAAGAAACTTGCTTTTTTATCGTTTACTTAACCCCTGTTGCCGTTTGTCTCACTCTATGATTTTCAAGAATCTTGGGTTTTTGATTTTTCCACTCGAATTATGAATTGGGTATTACTAAAATTTAAAGAAAGGGCGGTGGATTTACTGCTGATGGGTCAAAAAACAAGCTGTTTTTGTCCTCGATGATATCATGTCCCCCACTCTCTCATGAATGATGAAACCCTTCAATGGTGTAAAGAGTAAATTTATATACAAAGAGTTCGATAAAACTCTCATAGAAGAAGATATAGTGTTTTAATAGGATTCTAATGTTTCAAATTGTAGTTATCTAATTAATTATCTATTTACGCCTTCAACAAAATTTTAATATAAAAAATAATTAAAAAATATATATTTTTATAAAAAGTATGTCGACTGTAATAATGTCTTATATATACTATTATTTAATATTTTTTTTTATCAAATAGTATTAGAATATCATTTATATTCTATAAGTCAATGGCTATTTAGTATTTTTGTTCTTGATGAAAATGTCAATATTATTAATGAAAATGTCTTGTTTTTATGTAATCAATTCTGTTGTAGATGCTTTGAACTGAATATAACTATTTATTTTGTTTTAAAATAATTAAAATGAAAATCATTATATTTTAATATAAAAGTTTGAGTGTTTGTTACTTGAAATTGTAATAATAAACAAAACTTGTTGAAAGCCACATCCGACATCCTCCGAATATCACATTTTTGATATTAATCTTGAGGACGAAAAATATATTTTTAGTCTATTTTATACAGCATACTTCAAGGATATGGTAAAAAAATTAAGTTATTATTTGATATAAAGTGATATAAATATATTATTTGAAGTAGATGAAAATCAAAACATTGCATTACTTTACATGAAAGTTATCATAAAATGAAAGTTAATTTATATAATTTTAATAGTACATATACTAAAACCCAAATATAAATATATATTTTCAGATATAAACATTGATTCAAACCAAATTAATTTTATTAACTTATATAGTTTATGAATTATATACTTAAACCCAAATATAAATATATGTTTTCATATATAAACATTGATTCAAACCAATTTAGATTTATTTATTTATATAATTTATGATTTATATTGTCCATAAAACAATATACAGTAATTTTGTGAACGTTACTAATATTATATGTATACGTATATATTAATTGTTTGATGACATTTGAGTAAAGAATACTATTTATTACTAGAAATAAGGAATTTAAAAACGGAAAAAGTTAGAAATAGAAAAAGATGTGATGGTGCCAGCAAATACTCCCAATAAAAACTCGCCATTCGGCAGAAATGGAGTGTACATGGAAAAAGTGTGGGGAACTGTCAGGTGATGAGCTGGAAATTTTCAAATTTATTGTTTTTAAATTATTTTTGAAATTATAACAAATCTTATTTTAACTGTTTTAAAAATCTATAATTCGGTCAATTACTTTTTTATATTCATACCGTTAAAATTATTGCTATAAACTATGGGAATAATTTGAAATAAATTTACTAATTTAATAAAAAATAAAGTAGTCACTTTATAAACTAAATAGATATTTTTTATAATAAAAAGCAAAAAAAAAAATTGTCTACCAATAATTAATTACAGTTTTCTTAATAGGCAAGAAATTTATAACATAATCTTACTCAAACAAAAAAAGGTGTCTTGTTTTTCAGTTTTTCTAGAGGGTGCCATGGGTGCCTAGGTGGCAGGGTGGGTTTGTTTTGAATATACCTAAAAAAAGAATTGTTAATGATTTTTTTGGAATTTTTTGGGGTTTAATTATATTTTGTCACAATGAAATATTGAATCACAACCTTTTAATATGTTATCGTTACAAAATAACTTTAAATGTCGGAATTTAATATAGTAGTTTTAACGGTAAATAACAATAAATAGAAAATATATCAGTTTAGAACACTGTTCACTTATACTATTCATTTATGTAATAACACAAATTTACAATTCCTTTCCTTTAATTGTTTTACTTCCACCACTTGTCCTATGCAACGAATGTATTTACAATTTTCTGAATAATGGTTTTATTGTGATACATTGGTAGGATATTACACTAGTTTGATTTCCAACAAAAACTATATATACTCCATATGAGTATGATAAGTCAATTCGATTGCAATGTATTTGTCCTTTTCTGCTATTTTTAAAAATTGTTTCTTTTTCTTCGATATAT